CGCATCTACCATTCACACGCTGCATACCCAAACCATTAACCAAAGTAGTTGAGTCTACCATGTCCATGTGACAAACACATACTAACTTACCTAGAAAAAAATTTTTAGCGATTCGTTTTGCCGCATAGTTTAAATGGATTAGCCCGAATCAAATTTGCTCGGATGGTACTGCCCCCTAACATTATTACAAATTGACAAAAGTTCTTACAGCCTCTGCCAATAACTTTCCAGCTTGAGATAGTTAATATTCTTGCAAGTGCACAGAATGTACCGTTATTTACTCAACTGAAGTAATTTATGTCGTACCGTCAACTACCACCATGTAAGTCATATTTCTGAATTAATTTGACAAGAATGCATCATTTTTTATTTCTCTCAAACGAGATAGATCATGATATTTCGCAAACTATTTTCTACTCGATTTGAAGCGTTCTTTTTGTTTGTGAAGACAGTTTCGCCTTACGGACTTGTGTGAAAACGGCTTCCATTTCTTTATGCATTTTTCACGAGTGTGAATGCAAACATAAACTCAAAGCTTCGTTGGGTTTGAGGGCAGTTGCATTTTTGCAGTTTTGTTGTTGCTTGCCGAGCTCAGTTTCAAAACTGTTGATGTATTAAATTCGAGCAGTAAAGAATGTAAAAGTTCATAAAATGTAGGTTGCCTCGTGCTGGCGCACACACACGTTCGTATGTGTATGTTAGTGTGTGTTTTGGTTGTGTGCGCATATATTGTATGGCAAATTTGCACATCGCTCACAACCACTCATGCACTCCATCCATCTGTGTCAGTTAACACATTTAGCTCGTTTAGAGCTTTGTTTGTTCGTTATTCATAAATTCACAAACCGTCTGGCAGACAAGGATATCTCCGTGCACTTTACGTGACACCGAAGCTTCCAACTGCAATTGTGCATACTGCGAGAGAGTTCTCGGCACGTGTATGTGTGTGTGGCTTTGCTTAGCGCACTGAGTTTGGTTAACAAGACGATCTTGAGAAGTGAGAGTGGGTGTGTATGTGAGTGTGTGGCATAGTGTCTACAAAATAAAGTGCAAACTGGCACTACAACTACAAAAAACCGTTTCACACACCTTTGTATGGGTGTTTGCGCGTTCGGAGGCAGGGCAAGTGCATGCATGAGGCTGGCTGTGCGCCGCTGTTAAATTATCGCACAATGCAACATTTATTTTAGTGTCACTACCATCCAACTGGGCAAAGTTAAGTACAAAAAGCGACAGCGGCGACACAGTCAGGAGGTCTAGTCAAAGGACACTTTATTTTGAGGGCACACAACTTAGCTCACGACAAAAAGTCGTACACAACCACCAGCAATTCGCAAATATTTATTTTAATGCTCATTACTCTAATACCTATCTATTCTTAATCCATTTTATATAACCTTTATGAAATAAGGTCTTGTTTAAGTTATTGTGTACTACTGAATGACCCTGTGATTTATTTTATGATGATTATCCTGGCATCCTCAATATTGCCTTCCCCTCCAGAGAGGAGTGGGAAAGGGACGTAGTGGACAACGAAGCAGGAATAAGCTTCTATACGGATGGTTCCAAACTGGATAACCGAGTAGGCGGCGGTGTCTTCTCGGCTAAACTAGACACCAAAATCGCCTTCCGGTTACCAGACCACTCCAGTGTCTTCCAAGCGGAGGTCACTGCAATTAAAGAAAGCCTTCTTGTACTAACAAAAAGTGTAATCACAACAAGAAGTGTATTTATATATACAGACAGCCAGGCGGCTTTGAAAATTCAAGAGGAATGATATAAGAACTCTCGTAGGAGTACTAACAGGCCACTGTCTAATAGGCAGACATGCAAGTAGACTTGGCACGCTATATAACGACTATTGTAGAAGCTGTCAGGAAGTAGAAGAGGAGGAGACCATTAAACATCTTCTATGCGATTGCGCAGCACTATGTAGGAAAAGAATCGCAACCATCGGTCGTGGGTTTCTTGACGACGTCTCGGAGGTTGCACAGATAAAACTTGTCTCACTGATGAAGTTCAGAGAGGAGCCAATAGAGTGAGGGGATCACAGTCCCAGTGGTATCACAATGGGACTTCTAAAGGCCTAAGTGTGTCGAATGACAGCCACTTTACCTACCTACCTACCTATCCTGGCATATTCCAGTATTTTTGACATATAGCACTCACTTTTCAGCAGACTACGAAGCATATAATTACATATTTTACAATCTTCTGGTCGTTAGCCAAAATTTTATTTTTGATCTGTTTGGCAACAATTTAGAGAGTGTAACTAAAAACTAATTGGTATATGGATTTAAAATTTTAGAATGTCAATTTCGAGAGTATATCTTAACGAAATATGAAATAAAAACTTAACTCCACACTTAATTATTAAGTAAAACTATTAAAAAATTAAAATTATTAAGCAAAACTTTTTTTTTCATTTTCGGATAGATCGATGTGCCACAGCAGTGGTATTATCATCTCTATGTTAAAGTTACACATTTCTATCAGTTATATTGAAAGTCGAATTTCTTCTATAAATGATCAATTGAGTTCACACAAATGGCCTTTAGCAATGGACGGAATATCTAGTTTAATTTATGCACATACTTGATTATATAATTCACAGATGTGTAAGAAGCCAATACAGTTTTTAAATTACTCGGTCTAGTAACGCGCACGTAATTTAGTTATGTTGCTTCATTAGTAAAAAAATAATTTGGATCGTTGCATATCCAGCTGCATGTGCACTATTCAAATAACAATCGTGCATGCTTAGAAACGTAATCTTCGAAATCATACGCACGCATATTTGTATGGGTGTATTCGTAACAAATTTATGAATGTATGGGTGTTAGTGCAGATAAATTAAACGGGTACACATGTTTCAATAAATTCTCCAATTCATTCAAATCAGCATGCCTTGCAAGCACGGCAGGCGCTTGAGCTTACGTTGCTATTATACTACAGTGCGTATGCGTAACCTTGTATTGCACATGGGTGTAAGTACTAAATACATAAGTAAGTGGCATATCAATGTGCGAATGCAATATGAGTTATGACCGAATAATTTGTTTATCTTCGATGCCTAATTGAACGTTAGCCTAATATGCATAATTTTACTCATAAATACATAGTTTACATTCTATAAGGCGATGGACAACGTAACACAGCTGGTAGGAGCACCGTACAGAGCTATAAGTAAATGCGAGGATGGTTGTACGAAACATGTTGAGTATTTATTACTTACTTACGTTCAACGCAAATAATAGCATAGCTAAAACTGGTAACCATAATGTGGGAAACGAAAAAAGCTAAAAAAAGAAAATTTAAGTTCGGGCACTATGGAACGTATTAGATACTAGATATTAGATATTAGATAATAGCCTGTAAATTTTGAAATATTGTTTGTAAATGTATCGAAAGAAATATTGCCACAACTCACTAAATGACTAAAAATTACTGTAGGACTGGCTGGTAAAATTATACATATACTATCAATGAAGTTATCATAATAAAACTGTGCGCAAAATGTGTCTTTAAAGTATTCCTCGCGTCTAAAAATTCGAAATCTAAAAATAAGTCCTCGATACTGAATCTGTGTATTTCGGTGCTTAGCTTGTACCGAAAATATCTCTCGATCTGTGAATCTGAAATTCAGAAAGAAATTTTGTATTTAGCTCTGTGTTAAAAATGGGGAAAATCGAGTATATAGAACAATATGGTGTATACGCAACATAAAAAATTCGGAAGATCCGTTAGCATTACACCGTGTATATATTGAACTCACCTAACGGTTGTTTGTAGCACCTTAAATTAATCGAAATATATTATATATAGGGTTATATATATATAAATGATTAGGATGACGAGACGAGTTAAAATCCGGCTGACTGTCAGTCCGTCTGTCCGTGCAAGCAGTAATTTGAGTAAAAATTATAATATTTTGATGAAACTTGGTACACATGTTCCTTGGTAAAATAGTAAGGCCGAGTTCGTAGATGGGCATAATCGAGATGATGATGATGATTACCGCACCCAATCCCCATATAACAGTACCGACATAAATTTTACATCCGACATGGTACGGGAGGACTTTATAGGAGCCGGAGTCAAAATTAGACGACCGGCCTCGCACCGCCTACATTTAGATGGAAACCCATATCTCAGTATCCACGAGATTTCAGTATTTTAAAACATCCGGTTGACTTTATTCCGCATACATTTCTGATGGTATGTGAAGTACCTTAGTGAAACTCAGAGATCTTCTATTTCTGTGGTAATGGCAAAAATGGATAAAAACGGTTTAATACTTTCCCCATCTCTCATATACCAAATATAAGATTTTCAAACTTCTGATTGATTTTATACCGTATATATCGCTCAATATGTTATATAAGATATTTTAACAAAATTAACTGACCGAATATTGGACAGACTATATGTAGTTGAATGCCGAAAATATGTGATATTGGTCTACGAATTACCCAAACTCTCATATACCACATAAAACGATTTTCGTTATTCTAACATACCCAATGCTCAATATGTCGGTCAGTGTATAATTTATATATTTATAAAATTTATAAATTGAAGAAATTTTCCTGGATTTGATCCTTGCAAGTTGCAAAAGTATGAAATGTTCGGTTACACTCGAACTTAGCCCTTCCTTTTTCGTTCGTAGTTCACTTTATTTTATTTGTTATAAATAAAAAAAATATTTTGTAATTCTTGGAATTTTCGTTAAAAAGGTAACAACTTAATTGGCAAGAGGCTGTTTATTACGTAAGCCGAGTGTGTAAAAGATTTTGTTTTCTGATTTATTAAATTTCTTTCCAAAGTACTTTTGATTGCTGTTGGGGGAAAAGCTTATTAAAAGTGCCAACGTTAAAGCCAAAAGGAGTGAGTAAATGCAGCGGCAGAGAGAGAATGTTTCCTTTGCATGTGTTGTAGTTGCAGCAGTACATATACTTACCTAATTACCTTTTGCCAAGTTGAGTACCACAAAGTAAACATTTGTGCGAATGCGCTTTACATAAGGATTTATTTGTCTATATACAGTTAGTTTTAATGACCAACAAACTTGCTTTACATAATAAATACTTAAGGTCTATATTTATGAATTATGTATGATAATTACAAATTTTAATAATACTTTTCATTACTTTTGCTATTTTATCGTAACTTCTTTGGCAGAGATATGTGAATTTTTAATAATTAAGAGTAAAAAATATTTCTTCTATATTTTCAGTAATTGTAAACACACTTCCTTTGTACATGTGTACGTTTTTAGGAAAAAATTACGGTTGTAAATTATTTACAAACAGCTAAAAGTCATTTCATTAGTTGACTTGTTTGCGATAGTTCAGCGCTAAGAGTATCTCAATTGTGAATGATACTAACTAAGTTACTAGAAACACTGTAATTCCAATAGATTCCACAACTGTGCGCTTAGCATTAATGCATGGCGAAATGATTGTGCAACTCAGGGCTCATTTCAGTTGCAGAATCAGTTGCCATAGTTAGGGGCCAGCAGAGCGAGAGAATCTCTTTGAGAGTGAGTGTTTCAAGCTAGATATTTACATGCACTTACGATGAAAGCAAGAGAAGGATGAATAAAATATAAAATTTCTATTCAAAAATATTTATATAGTGACTTCAAAGTGATAAAAGGCTTATTATATGAAGTAATGAAGGGCAGAAAGAGAGAGTAACCATTATAGAAAGAAAAAATATCTATATATTATTTGTTTTTGCTTTAAAACTACCTAAACTTTTTAGCTATCTTAAATTTACTAGTTTTATACACAAATCACAGTGCTCTAAGAGCCTTGAGTTCATCGAAGAGCTTCTTCATAAACGCATACAACGGCTGACGGCCTCTATCGAAAAAGGAACTTAGATGCCAGGTTAATGACACTGCAGTTATTGAAGGACAAGAGAAATGAAGAGCGTTTTCAAATGGCTGTTACTTATATTCTGAAAAGCTTCTTACAACCAGGTATCACATAATCTCTCAAGAAGCTGCTATGCTTTACCAATAACAACCAACCGTTATGGAAAATTTCCGAATATCCAAGCATTTGCTTATTATTACTTGTATATTCTCAAAGAACGGATTGTGTTGAAGATAACATATTTTTATTGATAACTGGAAAAAGGCACGACAGAAAAATTATATTCTTTTTTAACTCGATAACCGATTTTAGTGCTGTTTTGAATTCCTTATAGCCTAAATCCTTAACCTTAATAATTACATATCGGACAGGCTCAACTTTCAAAAATAATCCGTTTTGTTTTTTTTTGGTATTTAAGGAAAAATGTATTAATGATCAACTACGCTTGGTCTTTTACAGACACAAATGATACGAAACTAAAGTGTCAAAGTCTATAAGATGACCAAACAGGACATATTGATGTTTATGGTATAAAGGGTCATTATTACTCCAGCAAACTAGTTCTTCAATTTACCACAAGGTCTTACATTAAAACAGCTTTTTCATGAATTCATTGACCGTCACAAGAGCGAACTTTGTTACGTGTAAATGATGAAGCTCAGCTGACAACAACTTAAGGTTTAAGCATCGTACTTACCTTTAAGTAGTCCCTAATTAGTAAATATAAATAATCTCACTACAATATCACCTATGAGTTAGTAATATTTTAGAAATTAACAAACCTTATAATATACTGCAAATAGAGCCATCAAATGGCTGACAATATAGGTACACATTCCTACTTAGTCACATAACCTAACTTATATTTAGTTAGTCTACTGAGTATTCATCATGCTTTCTCTTTAGCAGCACGTCGTTATTATAGATATAGTTGCTCTTTTCAAATCCTCAGAGTGCATATGAATTTATGCAGGCCCATTTCAAGTTTTTATTTCCACTAAGTTCCTTAGTAAAATTTTAACTTACTACTTTTTAATATACCTATGTATGTACATACAAAACCTGACTTGCTAAACGCTCTCTAAAGTAATTTACATGAGAGTACCTACATTGCTAACGAAAATAACCTAAACAGAAACCTCTTTAGTGTACTTGGAGCGATCATTCAGATCAAGTATCAGTTTGTCGGGCCGCTTTGCGCGTCCAGCACCATTAGATGGCGCGCTGTTGTCTTCACCAACTGCAGAGCTTGGCTTGGGTTCTTCATTTGTGGCAGTGCCTTTTGAATTATGCGACACATCACCCGACGATTGAACATTGTTAGCGACTTCTCCACTCGTAGCTCCAATATTTGCCGCTGCCGCGATACACGCTGCCGCCATAGAGTCTTCTGAAGTTGCAACAGTGTCTTTGTGTAATGCACCACAATCGCCGCTTACGGTGCTAAGTGCAGACGTCGACTGAAAAGTCAGTTCGCGCTGTCGACTACGCAGCCGAATACACGCGCCCTCGCAATCTGAAGTATCATCACTGTTGGTGCTGCTCTCATCGGTGGTTGTGTAGAAGATGATGTCGTCTGTGGAGTGTGTCTTTTGTCTGTGGCTCGCGAACGCTTGGGTACTAGATAGGTCAGTCGCAGGTTGCCGGTCAAGCAGGTCATTGCTACGCGTCTGAGTTACGCCAGTTCGTGCTGCTAAGCTGTTCTTTTGCGCTAGGCGTTCATCGCCGGCTCTTATTATTGTAGCTGCTGCAGTTGTTGCGGACGACAGTTGTCGCGAATTTCGTTCATTCGTGATACTCTTTCGGAACTTTCTACCACCACACCTATTGCTATTACGATACTTATTTTTACAATTATCACATATACGATAGCTGATGTTTGCTCCTAAGCTCTCACTGCCGATATCCTGCAAGCTGGGGCTGCACGTTTTCGTACGGCCACTTCGTCGCTTGCTGCTGCCTCTCGTGGAAGGTGGTGTATTGGTAGCAGCGCTGCGTACATTGATGCGTCTCCTCAATGACACATCCGCCTCTGCATCGATGTCCAAGTCAGGCTGCGAGCACATACATTCCAGTTTTATATTCGCAAAGCTGATGCTGCCTTCCGGCTGTGGCGAACCGAGCTGTTGACAAGTGGCACCACTATATATACAAAGATCACTATTGCCACCACATTGTCTTTTTCCACTGCCATCATCTCGACCCGCTAAGCCATGTGGCGGGGTAAATGGCCGGCAGCTGAAATAGTGTTCTTTGGAAATAACCAAACAGCGCGTGCAAATGATGTGCCCCTGCGCACAGCCCAGTGCTTGTTGATGGAAATCCTCGCTCCGCGTTAAGTCAGTATTAATGGCGCGGTCTTCACGCAGCGCCAATAGAGACTCTTCGATTGTGGTTGTGCTGGTCTCCACCTCCAGCATTAGTGTTTTCGGTTGCGTCGGCTTAGCAGCATTGCCCGCAGGAGCAGCCGTGACATTGTTGTTGTGAGTCGTCTGCATCTGTTGATTGTACTTCTCCATTTCGGTATTGAGTGAGAGCAATGGCAAAGCACCACCGCCGGCACTGCTTACAGATACGCCACCAGCACCGCCAGGCGTATATGGGCGTACAGTTAGTTGGTTGTTCGATGTGGCTGCCTGAGATGCGGCGGCGGCGACCATTATCATACCTCCTGGCGTTTTAAGTCCGTCTAAGAGACTGGAGATTGTCATAACGGCAACACCTTTCGGTGGCGCCATCTCTTGAATGCGCTGTAGCTGCACACTTAGTTGTCGGATTTCTTCAAGTGCTTCCTGGTCCGAAAGTTTGGTGTCTGCGGAGAAAGAGAAAAGTTTACCACTGTTTATTTTTTATTGGGGCTCAGTTTGGTCTATGTTAATAAGATGTGGAAATAAAGGCTAATCGAATCATTAAATGTTTTGAATAAGTAAAGAGTGAATAAGTCTAGATTAATTAATCAAATTGTACAGTGCTCAGTCGAAAGCCTAATAATCATACTAGAATTTTACGTTATCGAAATGTGACAGAGACTTGAAGCAATTTCGAAATCACATATCAGATTTCTACACTGGGTGTAGCCACAGATTTGCTGTCTGCTCAGAGTGTTCCCTGTCGCAGCCAATACTAATGATGACAAATGAGCCACAATGACACCACTCAGCAAAAAGTTTATATATACTCCTAACGGCCTGCGGCTGATAACAGAGAATTATAACGCCATTCTGATATTTTATTTATAAATAATGGCTGTAAAATCGAAAATGTAGCTGTTTTAAATGCAATAAGAAACGAATGTGTTCGCCTACCCTGTAGGGAAACGAAAACTGGTCAGATAAAGTTCTTGTTCAGAACTGAACAGAATAGAATTCGATATTATGCTACTACGAGGATTTTGTAAACGAATAATGCAGGTTCGGGGTACGCTGAGGGGTATAACTCTAGAAAATATGAAACTAAAATATTAAAAAATAAATTACTAAAGTTTTTTTAAAAATATTTATCAAACTAAGAGATTGTAGCAGTTTTATATCTTAAATAAAGTTGGAGCCCCTCTCGGGCATATAGGGTCAGCTATATGAGTTAGTTTATTGTATTTTTGGTGAAATAAGTCGAGTGAGCTAGCCACTCTTATAAGCTGGTTCTTAAGGGCAAAAATTTATTAAATTTTTGCGCGTTATTTAAATGGAATAGAGCAAGAACGTAAACAACTAATGATACCAAGTGCACTAGATTCTGAACTAGTGCTGTTTCCTACAGGGTATGTAGATATAAACGTCTGTGTGCGTGATTGAGTTCAATAAAATACATTGCCTTTTGAGTTATAACCACAAACAACAAAGTGTGGTCAGACTAAGCACACACATACATTCATTTATCTTTTCACGCAACTATAAAATTAATTGTGTTGGTTGACAAAGCGGGAAATTTTTGATAGTTGTGCTGGCAATTTTCGTAAAAAAATATTTACTCCCACAAAAAGGAAATATTTGAATTACTTTATAAGTCAGAGTACTGTATAAAGATGTATCAAAGTATTTCATTTTACGACTTGTCGTCAAATTTGTCGACTACAAAGTAAGTGACATGAAACGTCCCAGTTATAGAGCAAATGTGAAAGATTCAAGCAAAAATTGCTAAGCATTAATGACGAAACGAGTCTTCTCTGTCAATGGAAAGTGGATATTCGAGCAGCGGCGGCTGAGAGCCAAGTGCCACGATGAGAGTGCTTCGTGCTCGAGCTCTTTGACAAATGATGCAATTCGCCTGACATGACAGTGCCATAGCATTGATAACTGTCAGTGCCAAAGTATAGCAGATAGTGACATTACGAACTTTATTGAGTAATGGCGAAGGATGGCAGGTAAGCAGTGAACCAACGGAGTAGCGGAACTATTTGAAGCAAAGCCTTTAATGGATGTTTCAAGTGCATTAGATGCTGGTCGATTTGATAAGAGCTGATAAAAAACTGTGTACAAAGATAGTAATTTTTTATTATCTTTGTGTTTCTAATGATTTTACAGATTGTAATTGTTGAAATTATTTAAGCAATAAAATCCAGTAGTCTCCAAAGCATAAACATTATTTTTCTTTTAATATTCACCGCGTTCTCTTTTTTTCGAAGTAGTCGATGGGAAGGATAGCTGTAATGTTTCCAAATACTAACACTAAAAAATTTTTGGTTTGCTTATTATCATTAATATTCATTCATCAATTCTTTAGAAAACGATACATATTTCGTATGCAGTAAGCGAATTTCGAAAGAACGCTGCAATTCTATTAAAATTTAATTTTAGTTGTTTGTGAAGTTAATTGTTGTTTTGAAAACTTATTTGAGGTTTATTTACAAAAAAGTGGTTCAAGTATTGTAACGCTCTTTAATTTAGGAGATATTTCCACTTGCTTCGCGAACACTAAAATTAATTACCTAACCCTTTTTTGCAATTATAGAACTAACTAGAATTAAAAAAAATCAATTGATGGACTTCCGTATTCATTTTATTCATTTATAAATAGAGTTATAAAAATCGTATATTCTCAATAGTCCCTGGACATTTTATGTGTCACATAATTCCAAATCATGACGTGATGAACGTTTTTGTGAAGGCCCTCATTCAAGAGATTATTGCGGCTCGTTAACACTTAATTAGAATGAGAACTTATTGTTTTTTTTTTTTTGATTATATCGAATCTCTAAAATGCCCAACTACAAAGACACAATGCTCGAGTAAATAACTTCGAGTATGCATGCTGAGTAGATAAGCGAAATCCCTTTAAAACTGGGGAAAAGCCAAACGATTAGTGAAAAAGTTCATGAGGCATGTGAATTTGCAACTTACCGCCTGAAGTAGTGCCCGCCACGGGAACGGTGGAGGTGGTAACCGAACTGGGATTAGCAAAGGTGCGCACCTGTGGACGAAAATTGAATTTGGCGCCAGAGGATTTGGCGCCCATGCCAATGGTCTCCTGATGCGATTTACCGCTGCGCAACACAATATAAACCTGTTGAGTCATAAAAATATAAAATAAGCAACAATAGCAACAAAAGCAACAATAACAAAGTCGTATAAGTAGCCATAATGAAATAGACGAAAACGAATTGTCATTTAGGAATTTGAATGTAATCGAGGATTAAAAAATAATATTACCACAAATGGAATTTATATACGCTCGAGTGAATAATAGGCATTCGCCTAAGTTTAGCATTCGCGTTAACTTCTATTTTTTTCAGTTTTTTTCATATTTTCTTGTCAACATAAGTTTATAAATGTCCGGATGAAACACAATGGGAGTCGATGGAGTGGGAGAGCTGCGACACTTACCTTGCTACCGAATATTAAACACAATAAAAGTGTCACCGTCAATTGTGTGTGACAGAAGAAAATGATGTAGAGCAGGTCAGGATTAGCCGGCGATTGCAGGAAGAGCCTACAAGAATTGAAGAAGTGTAAAGTGAAAAGAAATGCAAAATAAGTAGGATTTCGTTTGTGTTTTCTACAGTCACTATGCTCTATTGTATTTTTGTTTGTTTCTGTTTTTGCTGAGTTAACTCTAAATTTTTGTGTTCCAGTTAGCAGACGTCATAGTGTAATATTCCGTTGTAGAGCTCGTCTCTACCAGAGAATCAATATAATTTGAAATTTATCTGTTGGTTTTTTACTCCTTCATTTCAATCGTGTTTTATTTTAATGTAATTACTAGTTTTATTTAAGGGTTTAGAACGAGTTAATTTAAAATTTAGATAAGATCTCACGTCGATTAATCAGCGCACCTCAATTGCTAGTTCTATTTCACTGCCCACCAACTGTATTTATGATCATAAAATCGTGTAAATACTTCTAAGTATTTCTTTTATTTGTGTGTGTTAGTGTGTTGATGCTTTTCAATAATTTATTTTAAGACATTTACTTAACCTGTGAGCACATTACTTACATCGAAACGTTGAGGAAGCAAGTCAGCAGGAATTCATTGTAGATGGCCATGGAGATGAAGCGACTCTCATTGAATTCGGAAGGCGCCTTACGCACCATAATACAAAGGCGCACACCCCAGGCGAGAAATAGCACCTCCACTATGCGGCAATGGAATTGTGGAAGAAAACGTAAAAATATAGTGAAAATTTAAAGTAAATATTATTTCAGCAAAAATCTAAAAGCAGAAATAGTAATTTTATCAGTCTATTTTTCCATTTTACTTCTGAGCTTTTATAATACTTCCGACGCTTTGGACTTTTGCAATTACATAATATTTCGTAATGCTCTTAAATGATTTGTATGCATGCCGCATTTGTGAATTATGTAATTTCTATTTTCTTCAAAATCACGAAATTTTTTAAGCTACTTTAAAATTTATGCGAATATTGATTTGATGACGTTTAAATGACACACATACTTGCACACGCAAGTGAGCGAACGCAAGCGAAGTTGAGAAGAGAAAAAACGTTCTTTAAAAATTTGTAAGTTTTCTGCATTATTCATGGCGCAGCACAACAATTTTTCACGCTCGAGTGCTATGCTTTCTGCACCAGCACTAACAACGACAACAGCAACAGCAACGGCATACAGCTTTCACTTTGCAACAGCCTTTGCTATGATTTGCTTCACCTTTTTTTTTGCTTTTTTTTTTTTGCTTTTCTGTGCGCTCCCTTTGGTTTCGGTAATTTTGTAATCTTTTTCTCGGAATTTCGCCTGTCGCACTTGTGTTTCGCATATTTGATGAAGTGGTTCCCTTCAAATCTTTTTTGTTTGTATAATTTAATGTGACACACATTTCATGCTAACATAACTTCCTGCTTGTGAATAAGTGACTTCATACGGTTAAGCACTATTGGCTTATGTGTGTGTGGGTATATTTAAGGCCATGTACGTGCACTCACTCTCACTTGCGGAAATTGCCCTCTATTTGGAGGCAAGCGAGTGTGGAGAGGAAAAACTTTAATTCGTTTATAGTTCTGTTTGCGGGAACTAACAGATTTAGGTACAATTTAGCAGCTTAGTTGGCTTTGTGCACTTACTTCAAGTTCCTTATTTGAATGCTTAAAGTAATTTTATATTTAATTTAATGCAATACATCATCTTGGCTTGGATTCTGCCAACTGCGTGGTATGAGGAGAGTAAACTTCGATGTTAGATGAGCAGCGCTTGATAAAAGCTGAATCATTCCTGTCTACCTATTGATATCACTAACAACTGGCTTAAGTCGAAACAGCGATATTAAGACAGTAACCTTTTGAAAGACAACTTTATTATTTGCCCCATAATTTATTTTTTTGTAAGAAAGATGCCTTTTGAATTTAGCAAAAGTAATATATGCCAACGTTATCATTCGGTTTTCATTGTTAAGGTTTGTTGTCTAGTATCTCTCTTTTTCGTTTCACTATATTCATAGCCTAAACTTTTCATAGAAAATGTTATACCGCTATTTGCTCTCACATATGAAGAGTTATTTCTAGCTTAATTTTTATAATATTATTTCGGCATTACTTTCTAATTATTAATTCTCTAAAGCTTGCTTAGTTGCTTTGCAGAGGATCCTTAAATGAGTGCAGCTTAAATTCTGTAATTTTCTCCCTTTAAGTAGTCGACGTCGTTGGCATTAAGGAACATCGTATTCCGCAAATATGCAAGTAGCTTTTTATGTATATAAGTATGCCTCTTAGTTCGACCGTATGTCCGTGTGGATGTAAACAGTCGAGTGAGTTTAATATGCACCTACGAGAGCAGTGGGCGTGCGGGCATGCTCCACGAAACCGGCTATCGTGTGTGCCAAACAATGCTGGGTCAGCGTATTTGCAGTACCAAAAGTGTGACTGCATGCTCAAGCAATACTTTAAGTTTACACATCATGTCGTTAGCCATGGACCTTGGCATGCTTGGCGTACATACGTGTAAATCGCATATGAACTCGAAGCACGAGTACGTGTCTGTCTATGTGTGTGTAGCAAGCGCACGTGTATGACATTTTTATCCCTTTATTTAAAGCAAAACTATTACGGCGTCGAGGAATGCAAAAGCTGTTAAGCCACTTAAGTCGGCGATGCCTAAGTGTTCGACACAAACTTATTTCTAGCCTGAGCTCTCTTGTAAGTCGTAGATCTAATCAATAATATTTATAAAAAAAACAATATGCTTTCCACTACAAACAGTATGAGAATATGTGCTTGTGTATGTATATAGTTTTTGCATTATTTTACGGACGACTTCAGCTCCTTTGTATTGCGAACGAGTACTTACTCGATGTGAAAGTGTAATCCCAGTAATCCGTTTTGCATAAAAATGCTTTCAGATCATCAGCAGTGCGGCCAACCACAACATCGGGCGGTGCAACCAATGTACGCACCAGCAGGCACGTTCCAATGACACCGCAAATAATGCCGAGCCGCTTCAGTAGTGCTGCGTCTGTGATTTTCACCGCTTTTGCTGAGCGAACACGAAATATCACCGAAATGCTGCATTTTTAGGGGAAGAGAGAGCCAAAGAGACGAAGGTGTCAGTCGAGCATACATACTGTTATAAATGTTCATATGAGTATGTGTTGCATGTGATTAAAGTGCTGAGAATTTAAGTTCCATTTTGTAATTAAAAACTTGACTCACCGCCACGTTTTAAGCATCAAAGCTCCATATGTTAGTGAAAATCCAATTTCGCGTAGCCATATTCGCGCCGTGCAGGTGTACAGATTCGGATTGGGATACATCACAATGTTCTGTAAAAATAGTGAAAAGAACGGTACTTGCATTTGTATAGTTTTCTGAATGCATGAGCAATTCATTCATTGCATTGATACAAAAAAAAAATTAAACAAAGAATATATATTTGCTTCAGCTCCGACAAATGAGCAGGTTTTCGGAGAGAACAGGAGGTGTGCAAATTAGCAGATCAATATATCAAAATCTGATTAGTTTGTGTATATACAGACAGACAGACATGCTAAATGTACTCAGCTCGTCACGCCAATCGTTTATATCTGCACTTTATTGGGTCTCCAACGTTTTCTTCTAGATGTTACAATACAAACTTCATAACAAACTCAGCATACCTTGTTCAGGGTGTAGAAATTAGGGTTAATTCATAGTCCAAAAAAGGTGTTTTAGGGTTAATACAATAGTTTCTGCGAGAAATAAAATTTACGACTGATTTATATTAAGCATTACTTTTAACCGGATTTGAATGAAAACTACTTTTATGCGAATATTACTGCATCGATTCTTAAACTGACCGATTTGACCTTGTTAATATCGAAGTATTATATTTGATGTCACTATATAATTGTAACTGTGTTATAAAAGTCGTCGTAATTGTTGGGGGAACTAATGCCATTTTAGAACTACTAGGCGGGAACTTAAACTTTTCTACATTTTTAAGGATTTATGTGCCTTTAAGGGGTGTTTGTCAGCAATAATCATTTTCTCCTTGTGCAATTCCTTTAAGATATCCAGTTTTTATTAATTGAAGTCATGATGTCAACTCATGTGCTCATGCATCATTGAATTTGACATAATGGAAGCCATGCCTAAGTTTGTAAGTCTATTTATTATTTAAGTTATATATAATATTTATCAGTATCGCATCTGTATGGTCCTAAAAATTTGTAGAAGTATAAAGCTGTCCAATAGAAATTGTTTTTAAGAATTGGGCAGCATTTACTTACTGTGCAGTAGATGAAGAAAGCGCCCAGGGCAATGACGCGCAACAGAGCCGGGCTGGCGGCACGAACAACCTGTAAATAAAAAGGAGAATATGACATTCGACGTGTTGTGTGGATATTGGCATACGTTACAATTCAATAAAAATAAATAAATCATATTTGTGAAAGCACATTGGTAAGCTTGCCACACTCCAAAAACTACGCGGCGTATATTTATGTATGTGACACTTCAGTAATGATATTTTTAACAACCTCGACTGTTGCTGGTCAGCCGGAAATCTATAAAGTTTTATGTTATTTGGTTTACGATCGTGTCTGGCGTATCCATCCGCTCCAACAGCGACTCATCGAACATGCACGAATACAAAGTGAAAATACGCGAACCTGACGCTGGTCTTACATAAAAATTCACTATGGCAGTGTTGCTGCAACATTCGTTCGACGCATTTAGATGAAAACAAACCACAACGCCTTAGCGTCGCCAGCGCCGTTGGAGATACGCAAAAAATTAGCACTGAAAACATACTTGTATAGTAAAAGCTAGACTTGGTTTTGGAAACGGCAGCATGTTTCATTTTTGTGTCTGAGCGCGCACTTAATGACGTAATAAAGAACAAAGCGAGAGGATTGGTTAATGCAATAACACATATGCCGCAGGGCGATGTGCACCCACATTCTTGCCGTAAAACTAAGTGCAGGAGTTGCTATAAACTCGGAGTTTTAGAGGGCCCAGCCACCGCGGCAAATGACGCCACGTTTTCCGCCACAGACACCACATGTCAACAGCAAACATGGAAAAGTAATAAAAATTGTTAAATTTTATTATGACGTCGCAACTGTCGCGCCACACACTCGCTCTTTTCTGGTCAGTCTTTACAGGTCGCACCGACCGAAGTCCGGGTCGTCAAGGTTAATGCGTTCAATGTTAACCTGCCGGCATAAGTGCCTTTGTGGTTGGCGGCGGACAGCCAAGTTGGCGACTGGGCTCTGCTGTCGCGCTGCGTGTGGCCGGACAATATGTGTACCGTTACTGTTTTATGTTGGCGGAGCAAAGAAATTTACTTTTTTACGTGCAAATAATGCTTTTGCTATTGCCGTTGTTCTACACATGGCATGCAAGTGTGTAGTGCGAGGTACTTACCTTCACTTGTTGATAGCGGAATGTGAACCATGCGGCCGGCGGTAGTAAACCGATAACGGTGCAAGCCAGAACCAAAATACTCGTTCGCATCGGCCAATTAAGCGCTGCAATACAAGGCGAGCCGTCCTCGCAGTAATCGCAGCCCTCGGCGCACGGCAGGCACTCGTACTCATTGATTATATTGTATGTGGAGTTTCTGCCCTGAAAAGTATGTATGTGTGAAACTCTCATAAATGAATTGAAATTTTATGTTTTAGTATTAATTTGTACAATTCTAATCACTTTGTGGTTAAGGAGTCTAATAACTATAGGTTAAGCGTTAGAAACCTTTGTGAATCTGTAAATGGAAGTCACTCAACAACTTAACACTGAACACTCCAATCAGCTTAGACAAATATTTATCGCTCTGCGACGAAGCTTTTGCATTTCCTTTTGTTTCATATATTTGGAATTTTTTGAGTGATTTGCTTAAACGTCCATCATCGATTAATGCATGTCATTTGACTACAGTTAAATCACATCAGCAAGTAGGAGTTTTCTATATTTCGGGCTGAACACATTACGTAATCCGATATTTTTTTAGGAGTTAAGGCGATTTTTTCGGATTAAATTATTTCCATGAAAATTTCATAATTGTTGCACTTACCAGCATTAGCTTCTCGTACTCCTCCTCCAACAGGCTGCCATTGAAGAACTTTTGCGAAGACATGGTGTCTGGAAAGTAATAGCCCTTGCGGCAAACACATTTATAAGAGCCACGGCGAAAGCCCAATCCTTTTAACGCCTCACACTGAAAATTCAAAAAATTTGAATAAGAATTGGAAAACTTTTCAACGTCTGTTGAGAAAACAGTTTTCGAACAAAAAAAGCAATATAGGGGATGTAGTGATTATGTGGAAAATTTGTGATCTAAAAGCGAAACCCAGAATTAGATGATTTCTACCTTACTGTATGCTGCGTAATTTCGCTTGCTCTCGTTTCTATTTATTTACAGATTTTCGGCAACGAAAGTAAAATTCAACTGTCAGTAATTGTTTATGTATGTACATACCATTGTTGTGCGTTGTTTGCACTTGTCGGTGCCGGCGAATATGTTCAGTGGTTGTGTGCTGCCCGGCGAGTTTCGCTGCGGACATTGATCGATATCCACACGCCTCAAGTCGATGTCGATGCCTGAAGTTCCTCTAGAGATTTTGCAGTTGTTTTACAAAAGTTGTTAATATTTCATTTGTTTTTATTTTAGTGGTTTGTGTATTCCAGTTTGCCAATCGTGGTTTGTGTTTGCAGTTTCGAATTTCAAATTTGCATGGTTTTTGTAGTTCAGTATTTAGTTTCGTTTGCGAGTTTATATATTGACATAGTTTATTTTTTTATTTTTCCAAAAGTTTTGAACATATTGACCATTTTGTTGTGGCAGAAGGAGACATGAAAAATAGAATGAGTAAAGTACACTTGATTAGCTTTTAATGAAGATTTATTTAAATTCAATTTTGTATCCAAATTTAAACAAAAGTTTTAAATATTTTAAACTTCTCTCACTGAGTGATCTTGTTGAAATGAAGCACAGTTTTTGAATATATTTTTTGTATTTATTATCACATTTGTCATGGAACTTGAGCTGGCGAAGAGCGTATATGTCTTAAAAAGACGGTACTATATCCGGGAGTATAGAAGTTGAGACTGACACTTCAGCTCTCCGAGATTTAAGTACCGGATGTAATGTTAAAGAAGCAGAAATTTTGACAAGGCGTGCAGCGGATGAAGCTTTTCGTGAGGGTGTGCTTCACATTCACTATCAACAAGTCGTAAGGTCAGACACTTTTGCTCACCTTTGATAGAAATTATTAAAAATTTTGCGATACCAAGAGAAGAAAACCACGAGACCAAAAATTTACTATAGCTTTATAAAAATAGAATATGGTACACAGTGTTAAGTGAAGAGTTCAGTCTGTCTGTCCGTCTGTAAATACGCCAACTTGTCCTTCAGTTTTCGAGACATCAACCTGCATTTTTTCACATGCTCTTTTTTTCGCAAAAAACTTCTCATTAATCAAAACCGCCGATATCGGACAACTATGGTCTATAACTGCTATCCAACTGGCCGAATAAACTCTGGTTCTTCTATGGCAAAATTAACACTTTCTTGTCTTAAATCAATGTAATGAACTCCACTGACGTTGGCATACAACCAAACAACTATCAAGCCATCATCATCAGGACCGCTCGTCTTACGAAATGATGACGTGATAAGTAACTCTGTAACTCCCCTTTATTTTAGCAAACGTAGAAATAAACTTTAACGACTCATTACTTAAATGCTCTCGTAAATCCTTTATGGGCGTGTAATGCTATAAAAAATACAGTAATCCAATCGCCACATCCAAATAAGATCACTCCAACAAGGTCAGCGCTTTGATTTTCACTCTCGCATAATTTCCAAGTTCGTTAAGCAAATCCTTCGTACATTAATTCCGGTCTGCAATTTTGGCGAATTAACTACATATCCTCTGCCTCGACGCTGATCCTTACTTAGCATACTATTGCTTTTACTCAAATGGGGCAGCACAATGAGGAAATAAATCAATAAAAGGAACTCAACGTCAGCCACAAGGCACAAATGCACTAAGTTTATATATGGTGTGGTGTGTGTATGTTGGCATTAGCATAAAGCCGTGTGAGGCCTGACGCGCTGAAACAGAGCAAATCTAAAAGAGATATTTCATGTTCGACAGGCCAGTGAAAGGCCAAACGGAAATAAAAGCCTACAATAAAACAAAATATCATAGTGTCAACAAAGCGAAGGCAGCGCCAAAACAAAGATGGCGAAGAATCGAAGCGGTGAAAAGGTTCGACGGAGAAAGAAAATAAGTAAAGCAATGAATTCCGATAGCAAAGCCTCCAAAATAAAAAAGAAAAGAAGATACTGCAAATAAACAAACCATATATTGTACGTATATTAAATAAATAAATAAAAATAAGGGGAAATAATATCCATGAAAATATAAGAATGAATCAAGGAATGCAAACAAAGGAAAACAACAATATTAACAACAACGCTAAGGGTAAATAAGTCAATAGACTTGCCAATTTCACACGGTCTCAGCACACACTCGCACACAATCTCACACACATACATTTATTTACGCTAATGGTGGCACATATGAGTATTATCATCGCACAAATAACGGTGGGTGTGGCGGTGAGACGCTCAGCCGTACATTCGCTCGAGGTTTTGTGTCTGTCAGCCATTTGTGATTACACTACGGTTACGTATACGTCACGTATGACACTATGTAAAGAAACAAGCGCCACAAATGCCATGACAAAAATGCCGTTGCTCATGCCACACTATTAGTGACAGCTGCGAATGGATGAACGGCATTGTTCGTACACTTTTGTTACACACTGGCGGCAGAGCATAGCTCTGTGCCGAAATTGCGAACTTCATTGCTTGCATATATCTGTATATATCAGCCGAAACTGTTTTGATTGAGTCATGCAAATGTTCACACATATTTACTGTGTGTTTTTTGTATACATATATTTGCTTTACTTTTATATATTATATATAATACGTACGAATATTGTCATGGCTGACAGTGAATACTGCTGTATCAGTTATTTTTTGGTTTCACTCGAATATGTTGGATCATTTACTGATAACGAATCAGCAGTATATGTAATATATGTATAAATATTGGCAACAACGGTAGGCATATGAGTAAGCCAATCTGCATACTTTATAATATTGTATAGTACACCATACTAGTAACTCACATAAGGCGCATCCTTTGCTGGTAAAAAAATTTTGAATAATTCCAATTAAATCGACAATAGTTTAGACTTAAAAAAAAATTTCTAAAACTTAAGTCAATAAAAAAGTTTAGCGAACATTACCCTTCTTATTTCTATGCCTAAGCACATAAATCATGAACTTCAAAGATTTTGTTGATCTTTCGCATTACGGCTGGTATGCTTAAGTTATATGGAGATCTTTAAAACAGTAATTCCGTGGTTTTGATTTTAAGAAGGCGTCTAACCCTTTTCAATGTGTCGAATGTGAATGCATCCGATTAATTCTTAGAGCAACCCACCTACTGTGAAATTTAAAAAAAAATCTATTTTCAAATTCCATATTCCTCCTCAAAAATTTTACCACATTATATCATATAACTTTAAAAAGTTTAAAACAATTGATATAGAATTTTTTTTTGATTTTTGTCGCACCAAGTGTGTCCTTCGAATAAAAAAAAATATACATGTAGCACTCGAGGACTGCCGGGGTAAAGCTATTGCATAGCATTTTTATCAACTTGTGCAATTATAACTATTCATTTATTTTTTATGCAGTATTTTTAATTTTCTCACAATACATGTAGGTTATTCAGGAATTTCCATCATTGAAACCAAAGATTTATGGTAACTGAAATAAGAAACATAAGTTTGAGACTTGATGTCCTCTAAATATCTTGAAAATACCGCGTCAATGGTGGTGCCATATTTTGTTGTGGATTCTTGTGGATGATTATTTATTTTCAAATTAAATTTTTCCGAAAGAAAATACGCTAAAATTCAACCGTTCCTCTTTTATCAGCGAAGTTGATGTTGAAATCGCCAGCCAAGATAATTGGAAATGTATTACCATTGATAATCCGAATGAAATACCTAATTTTAATTGTATTGTTCAATTTAAACGAGAAACTGTTCCAAAAGGTGAGATAGCTATTTACTACTAAAATAATTATAAAGTCTCTAATATTATGATTCCGAATATTAAATCATTTATTTTTTATTAAATATATTTTTATTAAATTTCATATTTTAATTTTCCATTAAAAAAAATTGTATCGTAAATCTTATTATTTTTGAATCACACTGCTGTGTGGCGTCAATTGATTTGTTCTGCTTGAGATATGCGAAAACAGGCCTTAAAGTATGCAAACATTTTACGCATACTTTGTGATCTTTAGGTTTATTTCCGTTACGGTATTTCTTGATTAAGTCCCCGCGCTCAAAGCCCTCGATAGAAGCTATGCAATAGCTTAAAAAAGTTTTTTGGGACTTACGGTGTCTTAACGTCACCTCACCCTTTAAATTTCTTTAAGTCTATTCTTTTAAACCTCTTTAAGTCCATACCTAAAGCAATTTAAGTAAAACTTATTTGTTTGTTTAGTTTAAATGCAAATTGCGATTTTTAGCCGCATGAAATCCCACATAGATATGATAAGTTAGTAAGTTGAGGTTTTTCACCGATTCAACGAATTTCGCCAAGCCAACTCAACTAATTCTGCAAACTGTGGAAAATCCCTACCAACAGCCGCGATGCTTATTTAGTGAATTTGTTGCCAGGCATTTTATTTGTTTCCCTCCGGCATTAGCTCATACTTCTGCTTTTGCTGCTAATTTTTGTTTATTTATTTTCCTGCTCGAAATAAGCCGCGCAGTCGACAACAAGCCAACCACTGCCACGTTTATAATTCGCTGGAAAGACCTGTAACTGCCTACTGGCACATGTTAGAGGCCGTAAGGGTGTGCATGTGTGTGTAGGTAAAATAGTGTTTTTGAATGGAAAACGAAATATAAATTCACCTATGTGGGCACATCGGTGGCACCATTTGCACACGTATACCCACACAAACGTATTTAAATCCCGCACAAAATTCACTCAATCCTATTTTCAGCAGGAGAGCGTATTATGTGTTGCTGTGTAGGTAGGCGGTAGGTGACATGTAACTCCATGCGATCGCAGAATGGTATTTTACAATATTACAAGTATTTATTTTTTGTAAATTCTTAGCCATACGCTAAGGATTTTAAATGCCACGAGGCAAAGTCTAATTCGAGCGCAAGCCGTTAGCGACTGTTGTCATATTCCGGTACGTGCTGTATTTAATTGTAATATTGCTTGAGTGAATATAATTTTAGGCGAATCTGCTCGCTGGCGCAGTGTGAACTTCAATATTTGCTTCTCATCGAATATGAGACAAAGCAGACTACAAATACAATTGCTGGTAACAATTTGAGATTAGCGCCATCTAGTGGAACTAATTTACTTAACTCTCGGACTTTTGCAAAGAGTTGTCTTAAAAATTGCAGCAAAATCGATTGAGTGTTTTCTCTGTCTTTAAAAGATTTGTATCTGTGACTGTTTGTACTCATCCCATGTGTATAGCTCTACCTTCGA